TGGTCTCCAACACTGGGGAACGCTGCTGCAATTCTGCTTTTTACAACAGATGGTGTTACCCAACCTGGGTGTTGAAAGCACATTGGTGGGTGAAACGCTCTCTTACAGAAAAGCTGGAGGACAACAAACCAAGTTGGTGTTGTTCAGCCTGGAGAAGAGAAGGCTCCGGGGAGACCTTCCAGCACCTTCCAGTGCTGAAAGGGGGCTACAGGAGAGCTGGGGGGGCTCTGGATCAGGGGGTGCAGGGACAGGACCAGGGGGAACGGTTTGAAGCTGCAAGAGGGGAGATGGAGATGAGATGTGAGGAAGAAATGTTTTCCTGTGCGGGGGGTGAGGCAGTGGCCCAGGGTGCCCAGAGCAGCTGTGGATGCCCCATCCCTGGAGGGGTTCAAGGCCAGGCTGGATGAGGCTTTGGGCAACCTGGGCTAGTGGGAGGTGTCCCTGCCCATGGCAGGGGGTGGCACTGGGTGGTCTCTAAGGTCCCTCCCATCCCAAACCATCCTGGGATTCTATGATTCTATGAAACCCCCTCCTCCTGCATGACTAGATGATAGGTTGGGGTTCAACATGACTTTGGAGTGCTGGAAGGGATCTCAAAGGTGAAACACACCTCCCCACCCCACCCAGCCTTTGGTCATGCAGTTGATGCTCAGCTATGCATTTAGATCATTTTGCTTATTTTTCCTCCAAGCCACTAACTTTTAAGCATTTAAGTCCGGTGCCAAGGGCAGAACAATACTCACATTGTATCCCGGTGTCCCCGTTCTGAGCCAGTGGCCTAATCAGCCAAGATTTCTGTAGGCATGCCAAAGCAGAAAAGACGTCCAAGTCCTTCTCACACGGGGCAGAGCTGGCGAACCCCCAGCAGCACTGTTTTCTCCAGGCTCCAGTGCACCTGCCTGCCTGCAGCCCTTCCCTCGTCACCTCCAAGGCTCCCAAAAGCCCCTCAGGGATGAAGGGTGCAGCCGAAGGACACAGGATCCATCGGAGCAGACACTGGGTCCAACCAAGGGCTAACCCACCTCCTCTCCTCTCCCACGATCTGCCCGTCTCTCCTCCCCTGCCCTGCGTGCCTCATTTCTTTCTCTTTTTTGGCTGCCCTGGCTGCCAAGCTCATGCCAGACAAAATGTTTTCCATCTCCCGGGCTACTGGGGGCTCCCCGTGCATTCACCCCGTGCCCCCCAAAGCGGCGTTCCCAGGGACCCGTTTAACAACACACCGAGAGGAGAAGGGGTTTCTCCAAACTGGAAATGCATCTCATTCCATTCACGATGGGTTGTGTTGATTCGGCTTCGGTGAGAAAGTGGGAAATGTTTTAGTGTATGCTGAACAAACCCCGGTTTGAACAAAGCCCGGTCACGGTGCACAGACCTCCTGCCGTTCCCATCAGACCTGCCCCTGGCTCCTCGGCTGCACGCTTAGAAACACCATGTCTGTTGGCATCCTGCATCAGGGGCTTTGGACATGCCTTCAGCCTGTTCCCCTGGATTTAGGGATTCCTCCCTTGCAGCCAGAGGCTACGGAGAAATAGTTCATCATCTGCCTCATCCCTGGAGGGGTTCAAGGCCAGGCTGGATGAGGCTTTGGGCAACCTGGGCTGGTGGGAGGTGTCCCTGCCCATGGCAGGGGGTGGCACTGGATGGCCTTTAAGGTCCCTTCCAACCCAAACCATTCCATGATTCTATGATTCTAGGATCTTTTCTTCCTTTGAACAATTCATCCTGGAGACGTGAGGCTGTTCAGCATCCCCACGGGCTGTGCCTTCACACCTGTACCGTCTCCTTCATGATGTTTTAACACAACAGCAAGCATATGGACATGTCCGAGCACACTCACTCCTGGTTGAAAACCTACATGTGCCCTTCCTACACACCTCCGAAACCCCAGGTCCCCTGCAGACAGGTCTTGCTGCCCAGCAACCCAGGACCACGATCACTGCAGGGAGCAGCTCAGATCCACAGAGAGGAGCAGCAGCTCAGCCCATGGAAGAGCTTTTGGCCAAGCAGCAGGGCTCCAGCCAAAGGAGAAGACCTCCTCAGCCAGCCTTCTTGGGGACAAGCTCAGCATGTAGCAAGACCTAATTCTGGCTCCTTCTGTTCTCCCCCTCAATTCTTCAGCTGCCCTGTCTGTGAGGGGTCACATACCCTGGTGGTGATGCCGCAAATGACATTCTCCCTGGGGGCACACAGTGACAAACCAGTCCGTAAGCGAAGCGCCGGTGCTCCTCACAGAGCTCCCTCCAGAGGGATGGAGAGTCCATCCCATAAATCAGGGCTAAAGACCACCCTTGACAAAGGCACCATCAGGCTGAGAAGCTTCAGCAAGAACTTAATCCTTACTCCAAACGTGGATGGAGATGGCTCTGCAGGTGTTGCAAAGAGACCTCCAACATTGCCATGGCTCCAGTAAACCTGATAACCTACGTGGTGCTTCACGGCTGCGGGTCCCCAGAGGGTCCCTGTCACATGCAATGAGTGGAAACAACAAAGAGTTTCTATCAAGCTCCTAAAGCCAAAGGATGATGTGAGTGGTTGTGTCCTATCAACAGCAAAAGACCCAGATTGCCCTGGGCTGAGGGTGCCCAGAATTGAGCAGGACATGGTTTAGGAAGAGGCTGGTGAGATCACGTCTTGATCAGTCTTCTCCAGATGGATCAGTGTATCACCACTCTTCCAGCCTTGCCTACCTCATTCAACAGCAGATGCTACACCAAGAGATCACAGGTGACGAGAGGGTCACAGGGTCCCTGTCCCCTCAAAGTTGTTATTTTCAGCAGGGATGTCCCCCGGCAGTCAGATCCTGGCCCCCCACACCCAGCAGTGCCTCAGTGTTTGACACGTGGGATGACACGTCTCCCAGATGCTGTGCTTGGAGGAAAGCCAAAAGTGCAATCTTCTGTCACCAGAATGGTTAACTGGTGACCTCTCCTGGGATCACGGAGCACCAGCATCCCACACCAACCATTTCCATCAGCTGGACAGCTCTGGAGAGGGGTTCGGGATCCAAGTCAAAGCCTGGACTTCTGTCATGGGTGCCGGGTTAAGGGACAACTCATGGGCTTCAGGAAAACCTCTCGCCTCTCTTCTGAGCTTCACGAGGAGTTGGGGCTTCCTGGAACTTGCTCTTCGTCAGGAATTGGAGGCAGAAGAAACAACTGGCCGACGTGGAAAAGCAGCTCCTGCAGGGGATGGACGTTGAAGTCCATCAGGAGCACCAGTGCCGTCTAGGATGGCCTCTCGGGGGAAACAGGAGCTTCTGAGCTACAAGAAGTCCAGAAGAAGTAACTCCAGAGAAAAAAGATGCAACTTGAAGTTGAAACAAAAAGGTTTTGCTGCAGCTCAGCCAAGGAACCGAAGAGTGCAGAGCCCACGGTCCAGCGAGGCTGCGTGGGACGTGGGACGGGAGCGTGGCCTGAGCGTGCTCCTGTGGGTGCAGGAGGGACATCAGCGAGCTGGCTCTGCGCGTCCAGGCACCACGGAGCGGGGACAGGAGCTGGGAAAGACAATGCTGCTGGGACCCCGGGGGAATCTGCACCTCCAAGCAAGCGTCGTTGACTCACTGCTGGAATTTTTTCCTTTTTTCCCTCTCTTTTCCAAAACCAATAGATATACTAGTTGTATTTCTTGTGAAACTAAACGAAGCAGCATGCAGGTTGAGGTCAAACATTGTTTTATTTTACTAATCAATGAGCAGAGAGAAAAGCAGATAAAATTAAACCAAACCAAACCGTATTTCTGCCATTCCTTACTTACTTTGCGGTGAAGTCCCTCCACCTCACTCTCAAACTGTTCCTTCTCCTGCTTAGTTTGGATCTGCGTCTCTCCCAGAATTAATTCCAGCTCTTCATTGCGCTCAACCAGATCCTCGTGCTCCTGCTCCAGTTTCTGCAGCTTGTGAAGGAGCTGGGAGTTCCTGCCCTCGATGTTTTCAATCACCTCTCGGCACCTACGCACCGAAGAATGACGTTACTGAGGCTGGACCCGCTCTGTAAATGCACCAACACCCAAATCCCCTATCGCTGAAGAGCCAGTGGGTTTTTCACTCTGGAATATCCCTGTCCTGCCAGTTCCGAGTCTCACACCCCGCACGGCCCGTGCCTGCTCCCGTTTGGGAGGCAATGTGCGGGAATTCGTGGTGATGGGCTCTAAGAAGTGATGAGGAAGGTCTGGGGACAGAACAGGTCACGGCACAAGGATGCTGACAGCAGAGAGGTGATGGCAAATTCTGCTGCTTGAGATGGGGGAACGGGTTTGGGCATTTGAAGGGAAAATGTGTCAGAGGGATGGGATCAGACCCCTTTCCTCTGGAACCTGCTGGAAGAGGCTCAGCAGCAGCAGCTTCCTGAGCAGCCACAGGAGAGCGAAGCTTTGATTTCCCTTAAAAATCCCAGTTTATGTATTTCTAAGTCTGAAAGTCAAGCATTCTGGTCCAGCCCTGGACAGCAACCAAACCCAGAGGAATCTTCCCAGCATCAAAACTGTTTTGAAACCAACCCTCTGGTCTGCAGAGAGCCACAAAAGCCCAAGTCTATTCTTTCAGAAAAGCAACGAACTGGAGAAAGTGCCAGCAAACAGCCCGCGTTCTTGACACCAAGGGCTACAGACCCCCTCGGGACTGTGTTACCTCCAAATTCTCCCATCTGGGCACAGAGGAATAATGCTGGTACCCAAGAACGTTCTAAAGAACCCAACGCTTCAACGCAGTCTGCCAGACAACCCCCGTGAAGATCCATCAGGCAAAGAAGGATTTCCAGATCGCTCACCTTTTGTGAAGCATTTCACTGCTCTGATATCTGTCCTCCTGGTCTGAGCCAGCTTTGCCCAAAACATGGTCTCCTTCCACCCTAACCTCATCCTTTGTGCCCTGTGACTGGAGAGAAAAGGAAAAGTTAGCACATCATTAAGATGGAAGTCTTTGCACAATGTGCTTCTAAAGCTACAGCTCTCATAAATGAATGGAAGAGCTAGAAAAAAATGAGCTACACTTGCTACATTGACCGGCACTAGATAATCCACCGGCTGTAGGAGCCAAATTCCACAAAACCCACAGCAACATGAAGGCACTAGTGGGTATTATAGAATCATAGAATCAGGAAGGTTGGAACAGACCTCAAGGATAATCCAGCCCAACCGTCAACCCAACCCCACCCATCCCACTAACCCATGTCCCCAAGCCCCACATCCACACGGTTCTTGACCCCCTCCAGGGACGGTGACTCCCCCACTGACCTGGGCAGCCTGTTTCAACCCCTGATCACTCTTTGCCCGATTTTTTCTAATCTCCAGCCTAAACCTCCCCTGGCGCAACTTGAGGCCGTTTCCTCTTGTCCCATCACTTGTTCCTCTAGAGCAGAGCCCAGCCCCCCCTCCCTGCCCCCTCCTTTCAGGTAGTTGTAGAGAGTGAATGCCAACGACATCAGTGTCCTCATCACGCCCAGCACAAACCCTACAGCACCCTGCACAGGATGCGCTCACACCACGTAGAAAGGAGAACACGGGCGTTTCTGTGCTGCAAGCGTCTTCATTGATGACATGGGGCCGAAACGCAGAGTGCTGTGCTCTATTTGCTTTCAAACAAAATTCTAGCCTGAAACATCCTAGCATGAAAATTTCCAGCATCAAGCAAAAAGCCGGTGGCAATACCTGTGGCGAGCTCGCTGCGGCTTTCTCCTCACACCACGTAGAAAGGAGAACACGGGCGTTTCTGTGCTGCAAGCGTCTTCATTGATGACATGGGGCCGAAACGCAGAGTGCTGTGCTCTATTTGCTTTCAAACAAAATTCTAGCCTGAAACATCCTAGCATGAAAATTTCCAGCATCAAGCAAAAAGCCGGTGGCAATACCTGTGGCGAGCTCGCTGCGGCTTTCTCGGCCTCGGCTGGGGTGGGATGGGCAGAAGTCCTGGCTTCTCGCCTTTCTGGTACTCGCAGATCTCCTCCTTTAGCTGCTCAACCTTCAAAAGGAAAACTTGTGCTTTTAGTTTTGATGAACATCAATCTTGCTGTCTTATGGAGAATTAAGATTCCCCTCTAATTTGCTGTAAGCTGCGGGTTTATTAACATTAACCACTCGGCTTGAGGGGCTGGCTGAGATCGTGCGGCTGCTCCAGCTGGATGGGCTCAGAATATCCAGGGAGGGGAACAGCAGGAAAAGGGGCAATGCCGTGCTGTGCTATAAGCGACTTTTCTTCATGTGTTTCAATTACTGATCATGCACATGTTGTACATCCCCATTTACCCAACAGGACTGAGCATGGAGGGGCGGACAGGTCACAACGGCTATTTGTGAGGACACCTGAGTCTGTGCTGTTATCAACAGGAACAACATAACGTCATCATAGCAAGTTACTGCTAGAATCGTAGAACCACTGAAGGGTTTGGGTGG